GTTTGCAGATGAGGGACCAAGGGGTGCTGTTGGTCTGCTAAAAATGATCCTCTGGTTCCATAGATTAAGCCATTCTTTGGGAATTGCAAAGAGGCAGAGTTTGGGATCAGCTGTTGAACAGTATCATGGGCAGCTGGGAAAACTATCTGACATGTTCCAGCCTAAAAGAGAAGGCTCCCTGTCTGGACTATGGTAAACAGAGGCCCATCCTACATTAGATGCAATGTAATCTAATGGGGTTGGAGAGGGAAACCTCTAGGCCCCCTTTCAACTCTGAAACTTTGCAACCATAGACATTTTTCATCCTTTCATTCATTCAGCAAATATTCACTGAGCATCTCACATGTGGCCAACATTAATATTAAGTCCTGGAGATGCAGTGCATAAAACAGTCACTGCCCACTTGATGCCTCTATTCAAGAAAGTAAGCAGTTAATAGAGAAAGGAATTACTATATTAATATCAAGAAATTATAAGTAATATAAATAAATATGATGCGGAGTAAGGGAGGTGCTATTGTGTATGAGGTGTTCAGGGAAGACAGGGAGGTGGCGTTCCAGCAGAGATCCAGAAAATGAGAAGTGATGTGTGTAGGGAGGGCTGAAGGCAGGGGGAGCCAGTCAGGACGGAGGAAGAGGGACAAGCACGCAAGTGCCTGGCTTGTTTGAGGACCTGAGTGTAACTGACTCATTCAGCTGTGGGCCCAATTTCTCACCTAGACAGTTTATTCACTGCTGCATCTGTTGCTGTTATTTTTCAATATCGTCATTAGAGCTCCAATTTATTAATTACCTCCCATGTGCCAAGCTTTGCTAAACACCTTATGTGTATTACTTCTAATTCAGCAACACTGCATGGTAAGTCCTACTGTCCCCATTTTAGAGATGGAGAAATGGAGACTCCCTGCATCCTCTCTGTAACATCTGTATAGTTGTGATCTACCCCACTGGCAAAATACTCAGTTCACAGCTGAGGATTATGTGCTTGATGTTATTCAGTTATTAGGCCGAATGCACACAGGTCTACAGAAATGTACTGGAGTCTTCCAAGATAAAATCATACCCGCACCTGGACAGCCAGCCCTCGATTATTTGTCTAGTTAAACTTTTTTATTTTTTTTAAGATATTATTCACTCATGAGAGACACACAGAGAGAGGCAGAGACATAGGCAGAGAGAGAAGCAGACTCCCTGCAGGGAGCCTGATGCAGGACTCGATCCCTGGACCCCAGGATCACCACCTGAGCCAAAGGCAAATGCTCAACCACTGAGCTCCCCAGGTGCCCCATCTAGTTAAAGAGAAAAGCACTGTAGGTACTTCGGAGGAACAATTCTCTTGTTCGAAGTCAGTCTTTGAGCTGCTTGTCTTTGAACTGCAGAATTTAAAATTTAGGATAATGGTCTTTCCTCTGTTCCTTATTATCCCTAATTCTTAGCCTGGACATTTCAGCAAACAAAGAATCCTCACCACCCTAGAACCTCAGAAATGTCTGTTCTGAGTTGACATAAACTGAAGTTTCCAAGGAGGTAACACAGACAGCTGACGAGAACACAGAAACCTATACAGAGTAGGGCGGTGGTGGGGAGAACCTCCGTAGGCAGGAGCTCCTCGAGATGTCGGAGTCCACACCAAGAAGCCCCTGTGGTTCTTCAAACAACCCTCCCTGGGACTTTCTAGCCTTCCAGCTTGGGGGCTGGGGGTCTCCTAGGGATCTTGTTCCCCATAGCTTTCAGTGAGTCCTTTGCACAAAGTGGAATTGTGTCTCCCGGTCCTACTTCTGCCTGCAGGAGGCATCTCTACAGACATACCCTTTGTAGCTCTGATGGGGCAGGGCTGCTGCCTCGATTAGGAGAATGGCCGTGTTCCTCTCAAACCCAGCTCCCTCCCACCTCTGTCTTCTGACAGCTGAAGGTTTTCAGGTTCTCTTTTTGGCACAGTTGGTTATACATGTAAATGAGACATGCAGTGATGTTGTGGAAGGCCTGCCCGCGTGTAGGTGGGGTTCCTGTGACGCTTCTCAGGTTCCCCCTGCTTAGAACAGGGCCGGCCCTCTGGGAGCTCTTACTCTCCATTGCTTGGATTTCCAGGTTTTCCATCCATGAGATATTTGGTTCTCAGAGCTACTGGCAGGTGATAATAACCAACACGGAACAGATGTGAATTTGAATTTAGTTGTCAGCTCACTGCATTTGTAACCAGAGGCGGAGGAAGAGCCCTGTGGTCTTGGGTCCCTGTGAGGTTTCCCTCTAGGTAACAGGGCGCCAGTCCCCCTGGCAGGATTGGTGTCAACAGTCAAGGAAATAACATCTACAACACAACTGATACCATCTTCCTCCTCCTCTTCATGGCGATTATCATTTCTGAGAAGCAAATGCTCGGGAAATGATGATTGCATTCTTGGGTTTGCACAGGCAGCTGATAGAGATTTGTCCCTCCAAAAGGGGTGCTCCCTTGTGCTAACAGTAAGCAGGGAGGCTCTGAAATGCTCTGTCTGCTGTGTGAACCCCATAACTCTTTTACGGAATTGGAGACACTGCTTTGGCCGTGAGTACAGCAGTTCACGTACTTGTGTAGCTGCCTGTGTGTCACCACATGCGGGTTCTTTCTTGTGGGTAAAGTGCCATCTGAACACCACACTGGCTGGCTGAGCCTTTGATTTGCAGCCTCATTTAGACAGAAGGGAAGAGCCTTAGGTGTCTGCCACAGAAGTTTTATCCAAGCTCACAGGGTTCCTGTGTGAGGTACAAGGCTGAGGTGGGAAGAAGGGCTCCCGATATCTGTCCCATCAGTTTATGACCACGGTCCTTACCGGTAGCCACAAGGAGGGAGGCCCCTGTTCCCCCACCAGGGGACTGACCCAACACAGGGTTTATGATAACAGTGATTGCAGTGATAGCAGCAGCTAACCTTTATGGACTTCCTCCCAGACAGTGTTTTCCCCATTTAATCCAGATCGCAACCCTGAGCCAGAGACCATGATTATCCCCAGGAGACCAAAGCCTGGTATTTTGCCTGTTTTCACACAACAGTGTGTATATCCATATAGACACTGGATATGCCCTCTTTCCTTTCCTAATAAAACCAGCATGAGCCCTGCCTTTCCCCTCCAGCTAAACACCCAGTGCCCCCTTGCAGGTCCCCTCCCTGAACCTCATGAGGTGAGGACCTGTGGACAGCATCACCGGATACGTTTCTAGCATCATGCTGCTAGGTTTGGATGTGTCCTGTTTCTCCCATTGAAGAGTTACACTCCCAACCGACAGGGTTCACGAGGTCCTCCTTTCTGGCTTTCCAGCATGTGGCTCAGAGGGTCTCCTGAGTGGTCCGGGCCAAGGCCAGGGACGGCATCTGCTTGGGCAGGGAGGCTGTCGATGAGGGGTGACTAAGTGCACACATCTCTCCTCAGGGAGATTGGTTACCCAGTTTCTTGGCCCAGGAGATGTTTTGTGCCACAAGTGAAATCAGCCTGGTGGTGACTCGGGGCTCAGACACTCTGCAAGTCGCAGGGGTGAGAGTTGGCTATCTGACAGAGGAGGAGACCAAAACATGCTCCTTAGTGAATCACATTTGAAGGGAACACGCAATCTGGGGCCATTTAGCAAGGGGGCTGGCGGACCCCAAAGACTTCATTGTGTGGCAGCATTTTCTTATCAAACACACATGCGCACACACACACATAACAGGCATTAACTGACGTGCCAGGCACTATTCCATCACTTTACAACTAGGAACTTATTTAATCTTCAACAACGATGAGAAATAGGTATTAATTGTTTTCTCCACCATACAGATAGGGAAACTGAGGTACAGAGAAGTAACTTGATCAAGATGCCAGAGTTAGTAAGTCCCAGAGCCAGGATTACTGGCCGGCCAGATGGTACAGTCGTTCTTTATGATGATGCTCAACTGTTAGGAGAACGTGAAATCGGTTCAGTACACGAGGATTGTGACAAAGAAACCTGCAGTACATTGGAGAACTAGTTTTATGCAAAACTAGTTTATTTCCTTTAAGTTAACTTTTAGGAAAAAGTTCCAGTTATGTAGAGGATTCTGTTTTTAAGGGAATATTTGCCCCCAAAACTTAAAACATGTAGTGTGTGTACAAAGAGAGAAAGGTTGAAGGGTACAGATCGTATCAATACATGACCTTTTACAAAGCCCTTATCTAGAGTACTGTGATGCAGGCAGGGCAGGTGGTCTTGTTCTTGTCCTATCACGAGGGACTACAGACCAAGAAGCTGAATGCTTTGACCAAGACTACCCGGCTGGTCAGATAGGACGCTCGAATCCCCATCCTAACCATGCCTTCGTAGACTGTATAACCCACTGGAGAGAGGAGGAGAAAATGTTCAAAAGTAACAATTGTACATAGTCCTTAAGCCTTCAAGGGACCTGTTTTGGTAGCAAATGAATCAAGAACATTTTCACTTTTCTTGTGTGTCCTACGCATACCAGCCAGAATCCCAGGTTTGTTTCACAGATCTCAGTGAATCTTTGGGATTTTTTTTAGACCCCTGTTTTAATTTAGAGTGGATTAAAACTAAGGCATCCTTGGATGATACCATCCCCTTCTGTAAAATTATAAATTCCAGGCATGGAAATAACAGCTGTAGAATATGAGCAGCCCTGACCCCAGGCAAAATGACTTGTTCGTGGTTTATTTCAGTTTCTCTCGTTCATGAGAACTTGGTCTCCTGAATAGGGCGTCCATTTGGTAATTTCTTGGTGAACGACCGAGTCTTGTATGAGTCTGATAGAAGTTCTTACCAACACAAAGTAAGGGCTTATGGGGGGCTTCGTAAAACTGCCGTGCCTGGAGGCATACACCGTCGATAAATCAGCCAACGCATCTCGCGACTTCCCTTGTGCCCAGTCGTCACTGCTAAAGCCTGAGTTCTTTTCCAGGGGGACACACTGAGAGAAAATCGTTGGTGATGAGCTGTCTCGGGCTCTGCTTTGAATTTCTCACTCACATGCTCTCCTTTTCTTTTCCCCTCAAGGGTCGAGATTACTGTTCGGAAGAAGAGGATATCACATAGCACCGATTCTACTACTCAATCCAGGAGCGACTACTGTGTAAATAGGTTACACCCCAGTTGAAATCTTTGCAAAGGTCGGTTCTCTTCAACGAACAGCACTATAGCAAAAGAAGATCGTTCCATATCGTATGCCCCATTAAATTACAGTGTTTCTTAATGAACTTGCAAAGGGATATTGCTAAAAACAAACAAACACACACACACACACACAAAAACTGTTATCGAACTTTCTTTGTTGCTGCTAGTTAAAACTTGTTGCAACTTTTCACTTGTGTCCAGGTATGCAGCAAAAATCTGCGATTTCACCTTAAAGATACTGATGGTTTTACAGATGCTCTCCAACCTATTTTCTCTAAGATGAGGTAGTGGTGAACTCAGATATCAAACTTCTGTTGTAGAACTCTTCCGCTTCTAAGACAAGCGTCTCCTTCCCTCTCTCCCCCCTCCCTGTCTCTCCTGAGCGGTCCAGAGCCTCGCTTCTCACTGGCAATGTTGCGCTTTGGAGATGGGATGGTTGCTATGGCAAGCCTTGTTTCTCTGCTACGAAGAAGTAGAGAAGCCATTGTCCATTACAAGCATGTTGTGACGTGACTCCCGGAGTGACATGGGAGGGAGCAGCAGGTGGTTTCATTTACTAGGTATCTGAATCGAGGATTAAGCTTGCAACATTGGCTTTGCTCAGATGCAGACGGAAGTGTGATCACAATCATTCTGAATCCCTCTTCCCCACTTTTTTTTTTCTAAGAAAATAAACATTTTACTGTTTTTATGTATCCTTGTCTTCTCCCATTCATCCAGTTCGGTGTTTTACGGTGATCCCGGGTGCAGAAGATGAGCCCTTCTTTGCAGTGACACCGATAATTGACCCTCATGGCTCCCTACCCTCCCATCAGCCACCCACCTCGTGTTAGCAGGGCTGCTGGTGGTCAGAGGAGACGAGGGGACACTCCTCAACTTTCTAGGAGGGCCTGAAACCACCCTGTTATCTTTCATTTTGTTAGCAAGTAAGCCATCCTACTTCCTCGTTCTCCCCCTTCCAAATGTTCCATGAGCCTCGCCACTCCCTTCTACTCAAGGCACTGGCTAGGACAGTGCAAAGCGTTTGCCTGTTGGAAACGTAGTACATTGACACTGGTGATGGTATTTGGAGATGCGGAAGCCAAAGCCCTAAGGCAGTGTTGGGGAATGTTAACTTGTGGGTTTGGTAGAGTTTATTTTTCCATATTATATGAAGAGAACAATCTCTTCTCAAAGACAGAAGTAATATTTTTAACAAATGTTGTCACAAGTAAATAGCAATCAAAAGGAGAAAATAACTTTTGTATTTTTTTAACGCGTTTGATAGCTTTGACGAGGATTCTCTTTGTTACTTTCGGGCGGGGCACCCCATGAAATGCTAGGCCCGCAGGCCCGGTTTGGATTTGTTCCACAGAAACACAGAAGGAGCACTGTCTGTTTCTCTCGTGGGGTTTGAATGTGAGGGGCTCAGGATCAGCCACGCTGCCAACCCTCCGAAGGTGGGTGGTTATTTATCCTGGGGAGCCGAGAGCTTACCTGCCACAGAACAGAATAAGAAGCAAGATTTGCTCTTGCTGAGAAGATGAGCCTTGACTTTAAAATCCATCTGCATAATGGATGGCACCATTGATGTGCTAATGGTGAGACTCCTTCTGCTGTTAGACCCGGGGGCACCGAGAGGAGGAACCTCAGTCCAGTGCTACAGAAAATGGACTCACATGTTAGCAACAAAAGCCCTTAATTCTCTCAGCCAGCAGCCGCTATTCTGGGGAGCAGCTGTGGTTGTTACATAAATAGAGATGCAGCCAAAATTTAAGGCTTTTTATCCTGCTTCAAGCAGAAAAATGCAGAGAGTCAAGTCGCCTAGGGGTTTACGTTCCCTTTGTATGGTGTTTGGCCAAAGGACTAAAATAGTTTTTCCTCAACTGTAAATGAACCTGCTGAGCCCCACCTGAAACTTGTCCACGTGGGACTCTTCACTGTTACGTGATTTCTGATGCTTCTCAAGCAAGAATGACTAAGCATCCTCCACGTGGCTCCTCTACTTGGTGTCTCAGACAGTGTCTTCCCAGAAAACCACCCCCTTCTACCCAAAGATGACACATGCTTTTTTTATCATTTTTTTCCTAGTCCTGTTTAACATTTTACATGATACACATGTACACAGAGCCAAGTGTTTCTTGGGAATTTGACTTTTGAGTGTTTCATAAAACTAGAAGCTGGTTCCCGAGAACCAGGGGCTTTTCACCTGGAATTCCGTCTCCCAAGTTTAACTCTTTGACGTGCAGACGCGATTTCCTCTGCAGACAAATGTTGGTATATCTAGAAATAGATCTGGGAAATGGGGTGGATGAGTGGGTTGGCATGAGACGCTTGATTATGTTAGCAACACTCAAAACTGTCTTGTGTTTCCATCGTTTCGCTTTAATCATAAAATTGTCAAGTGATTTGTGTTTGTACTTCGTTTTATTATGCCTTCTGAAAAGGGTCTAATGCAAAAATATTTTGCCTTTATTTCTGCCCCTGCCCCCCCCCCGCCCCCCGCATATCCGAACATGAAGCAGATTGTTCCAGATACAATGAAAAGAATCGTCCACAAACTAGTGGCTTCTGCTGGCTGAGGATTCAGGGAGATGGAAGGAGGGAGGGAGGGAGGGGAGTGGCCTGGTGGACGGAGGGAGAGAAAGGCAGGACGAGGAATGGACTGAGAAGCATTTAGCAGAGAGAGTTGATAGCATGGCCTGGCGTTTGGGTGCAATTCAAAACCCAGCTGCCTGGCGGCCGGAGGGCAGGGCCAGCTGTCAAGACGATTTGCAGCTGGATCGCACACGCTCTCTGGGCTCTGGGTTGTGGAGTTGTAGGAGTCCAGCAGGAGGATGCGCTGCTTGCTTTTGCTTGGCGGAGGTCCTGGGATCGCGGAGTACTTGCTGTCATAACTGAGTGCGTGCTTGTTACTGGCGGACCTCAAAGAGGCTTTTACCTCAGCGAGGCCTCGGCCCCAGGCTGGAGCATCGAGGGGTGCTGTGGTCTATTTAGGGACAAAGAGCGTCCGAATCCGGAGGCGGGGAAACTAGGTCAGCCGGCAGAAGCAGCAGTGCCCCCACCCCCAGGCCTGCGGGGAGACTGGTGTCTCCCCCTCCGCAGAGCCCGTGGTCCAGCCTGGGCTTCTCTGCTGATCCTCCGCGCTCTGTGCCTGTGGTGGCGCTGCCGCCGGCCCGGGGCACCCAGAGTCAGAAGCGGCCGCGCCCGCAGCTCCTCAGCCCCCCGGCAGCCCCGGGTGGTGGCACCCCCTCTTCCATCCCATTGGATGCCATCCTCCCAACCTCATCGAGAACTTTTTTCTCTAAGGGCCAGACTCTCCCGGAAGCCTGCTAAGCCCAGAGATTGTCCCTTTCGGGAGCCTTGCCTCGAGCCTGCGCTGCGGGCCAGCCGGTTGATTACAGATGCTGCGTAGACGCGAGGCCAGAATTTTAAGAGCGCTCCATCCCGACGGGTCTTAGGAAAGAAACCCCGTGAAATGATGTCCGTTTCGTAGGAGGAAGAAAGATCAAAGTCTTAATCCAGGAAGATACTCTGTATCTTGGGCTCCGGGACTCAGATGTGCTTTGTTTGAAAAGCAAAAGGATTGGTATCTAAGGCAGCCTCCCTCCTCCCAACTGCCAAATTCAAAAACAAAGCAAAAGGAAAAGTATTAGATTTTGCACTGTGTAATTTGACCGAAAATCTGCCTTCCGTGCTTTTGCCCCCGGAAGGCACTTTCAGAATTTCATTTCTCTGTACCTCTCAGAAATGAAGCTTTTTGATGAGCTGCACAAAACCCCAGTAGGAAAAGAAGACCCGGTCTGGGAGAGGCCATGTGTATTGAGGGGCATGATGAGACAGATGGTGGCAGGAAGCAGGGACCTTGGCTTCTGGATGTCCCCTGCAGACTCCCGGAGCCTCACGCACCCGCGTGAAGCTGGATCACGTAGGCAGCTTTCTTGCTGCAGATGTCCTTGCAATAAACCTTTGGGATTTTGTGAATGAGTTCTAGGGATTGCCTTCTGCCAATGAATGGATGTCTTTTTCCAAGGGGAGGGGGAGAGATGTCCTTCAGTCACCTTTTCGAGTGTCTCTGGAAAAGGTCAAAAAACAACAGCAGAAAACAAGGATGCTGGGTGAATGTATTTAACTTTTGTGACCAACCTTAACTCACTAGCTCTACCACGTTTTTCAGGAGACTCTTGTACCTTATCTGGGATCGGATCTAATCTTGGGGAAAGAGGAAAAGGAACTAACATTTATTATTGATACTCACTCTGTGCCAGATACTGTGCTAGGCATTTTGTGACTGTCTTGTGTCATCTTCACCACTATCCCGTGAAGTAAATTTGTGACCCTCATGTTCCAAGTGGCGTCTCGTAAGTACAGAATGCATCTGTCCGACACAAATGCCCATGTGGAAAGAAGGGAAGATGTCATTCAAGTATTTTCCGAATTGTTTTATTATTACTATGCCCTTTGCAACACTGTGAAAAGAACCCTTTGGGAGCTTCTGCCTTCCAGAATCACTCTTTGGCTCATCACCAGCTGGGTCTGCCGTGGGGAGTGTTTTACTTGGCCTTCCCGTATCTGATGAGCTACACACAAACCACGAAGAGGCCAGTGGCTAACAGAAATTTAGTGCCCAGAAGAGAAAGGCCTTGGGGATGTAGGCACATGTCACTCTTCTTGAAAACCTTTCAAGCATCTGGAAAGGGAATCTAGTACTTTTGCAGTGAAATTCCAGATGCAGCCAGAACAGGCCTTTGAATGCTGTGATTTCTTTCTTGGCTCCCAAGGCTTCATTCATCCCAGACTGCATTGTTTTAAGGTGAAAAGCCTTAACCTTGCAGAGAAGTATGGGAGAACCTGATGGCCCAAGGTAGACGCAAGGCCTGGAGCATTGACTTGAATCCTTTCTTGTGGGCCAGAGCTGGATGTCTCTTTTTGATGTTTGAACCGGGTCTGCATTTTCCAGGCCAGTTTAAGCACTGCAACTAGATGTGAATCTCTTTCAAGACCTTAAATATTTTGGATGGTCATGTAATGACTTGGACTGCCATTTAAATAACAGGTCCAAGGTCAGAAGAGCCCAAGAATTCCCCAGAGTTCCTTTCCTTGCTTCTCAAGGCTTGTCCTCTAGAAAAGATGACTCACATCTCCATGGCAACTGTTAAAGGTGCTGCCTAGAGGGGACCTGCCCTCACTCCACTTGAAAGAATCAAAAGAATTTCCTTGTGTAGAGGGGGTGCTATGTTCAGTTTTCTATGAAAACTATCCCCAAGATCTTGCCTCTTTCAAACCTGGCAGCTGTCAAATTCCTTCAAGATAATGTGGGAAGTTCTCGTAAGCCAGAGAAATGGCTTAAATTCAGCAAGATTCATTCCTAAACCAAAGGCCTCATTCTAATACTGTCGTCCCCCTCTACCCAGAATTCTCCCTTTTTCCCTTTCCGGGAGTTATTTTTAGCCCAAGGCTTTGAACTTGATTGAGTAAGATTTAAAAGCAGTAAAAAGAGTGCTGTAAACTCAGCCAGAACTGCCGTCCGGGTCTCTAGGGTTACAAATGGCTCTAGAACCTTTGAGGCCATTTGGCCTAGACCCAGAGGTGATAGAACAGCCCCTTTCTTTCTGGCATTTCAGTCCAGACCCTTGGGGACTGTACTTTCCTGACAGTCAAGTGAGCGAGGGAAGGAAAGGTTCGCAATAGATTTCAAGCCAGCTTTTCCATTCAA